GATGAAAAACATGGATATGAAAGAGAAACATCAATCAGTTGCCTTCTGCACGGCCAGGGCTGGGAACCCCTTCTTTTAACCAAAGTGACAGATCTAACTTCCTTGAATTTGTATTTGGCCTCATTGAGCCCTTTTTGCTTTTAGCCCAGATACCTTCCGTCTCCCCAGTTTCTATCCACTGGGGAAAGCAGGTCTTTGGGAAACTTGGCCTCTAACCATCAAGTGTGGGTTACCCTCAACAATCACCACCCACAACTCAAAGAACCAGAGTTTTCTAAGCCTGTTCCCCGAGCTGCCTGAGAGCCATGCCTCTGGAACGCCTGCAGCGCACTCTCTGCCCCAGCACTTCCAACCTGGCCAGCCCTGAAAGGCAAGTTGAGAATGTGCCCCCTGCAGCCTTTGTCCACAGAACCTCCCACTGAGCCTGTCGCCTTGCCATTCCTGTAGGCCCGGCGCGTGCTCTTTCTCCCCCTCCCTGTCCTGCTCCTCACGGGCCCCAGCCTGCTATGCTTCCCAATGGCTGACTTCAGGCTGCTCCTTAACTACTGAGTCTAAACTTCCTCACCAGCAGCAGCTTGGGAGAGCTGCCGCAGGGCTCGATGACACAATGATGAAGAGACCACTACCACTCTAACTCCTTACATGCCGCACTAAGCATTGTCCCTGGGGACTGTGGAAGGACTGGACACTCCTGTTGGGGAGATGCGCACAGGACCCCAGAGCACCCCCCACCCCAGCCCAGCACTTCCAACTTGAGAAGCTGGGTTTAGCAACTTCCCATGGATCAAAGGACAGGAACCATCCTCCGCAGGCCTGGAGGAAGCAACGCACTAGTTCAAGTCTCCATTGAGAAGCAGCCCTGCCCAGAGGGGCTGACCCTGGGCCTCATGGAGGCTGCTGCCTGTGTTTATGCTTGCTAGGTTTCCCTAACAGCCTCCAGATTACCTAGGACTCCTGAGCTTTCACCCATCCTCTTGAAGTTGGCCTCATATCTTCCTTCCTCTGAAAAGGACCAATCCTTCCGAGCAGAAACTGCTGAGCAGACCCCTTGTGCCCCCCCACAGCCACTGGTGTGGCTTCTTGTGCCCACTCAGCGAGTGAAGCAGCAGCCACAAGCCCTGGCTAAAGTCTAGGTGCTGGACATGACCACCCTGTCAAGGGCACTGTAGCAATGTGTTCCCAACACTGCCCCCTGCCCCCAGCAATCCCCTTTCCCTGCTGCTCTCTTGGCCCCTCCACGCCTTTAACCTGGCTTTGTCCCCAGCCTGGACTACCCATCCCTCCCCGCCTTCAGAACCTACTCAATGTCACCTCCACCATGGGGACATCCCTCCTCCGCCCAGCCTGACCATCTGGAGACTCCTCCAACTGCGCTCCCCCAGGGCAGAGAGGAGGTGGCTGTTAGGTCAGGGCCCAGTAGAGAAACTGTAGGGTATCTGCTGGAACTTCCCACACTTGCCTTTCTCTGCCCTCCTGTCGCTCATCACGGCTCCCTCCTTCCTGCTGGCAGAACCCCTCAGGGGTCCACAGCTCCCAGGTAAACACAATCATCTGACCACTACCCCTAAGTTATTTATCCCATTCTGAGACATTTTAGTCAATTCCACACACTCTCATAAAAGGCTATACTGCTGCCTGCCCAGGTCCCACCTGAGCAGAGCGTGGGCTTCAACGGGTAGGGCCAGGTTCTCCCAGAGGAAAGCCACAGCCGCAACCTGACAGTAAGGGACCAGGTGGGAGGTCGTAGGCGTTGTGATAGAGGTCCAGGGAAATAAAGGCCCTTTTGTATCTAGATACTGACAGTGGGCCAGCAATGGTCAGAAGAGATGGACTAGGGAGGGTGGGGGCAGTGAATGGAAGCGGAAGGGTTTCTATTACTGTTCACCCCTGAGCCGCCTGTTCAACCTCATCCTGCCCCACCTCCCACCACCATTCACAGCACCTCTGAACCTGCAAAGAAAATGAGGCTGTTTCACATCTGGTCCACCTGATGTGAGTTTAGCATCTAGATCATTGGAGCAACCCTGTCAGTAGGGA